ACCATGTCCACGGCCCTGGCAACAGCGGATACACCAACGGGGTAGAGGAAGCGGTTGTACAAGGTGTCCACTGTGTCGTCTTCGAGGACTTCGCATTCTTCCTGGAGCAGGATCGGACCGGTGTCCAAGCCGTCGTCAGCCCAAAAGATCGACAGCCCGCCTTTTTGGTCTCCACAGATGAGGGTCCTAAGAAGAACAATGAAGGTTGGACCTCGGTACAAGGGTTGGAGCTCAATAGAACAACTTATGGCATCTTTAGTCGACAGCAGATACGGTAACAGCCACAACAGTAATTAGTGGTTTTACTAATGCAAATTTTTCAGTGATGTTTGTATAGAATTGCTGTACGTACTCTAGTATAAATGATAAAGTACCCACCTACCTGTTGGATATACCAGAGCGAGTACAAATTTGTAAGGAAATCAAATTTTTACCGAAATCGACATATATAATTGTCATCCTATATTTTGAGACCCTCCAAAATGATACGCCTATGGAATCGTATTCTCCTACGGTTTACCTGTTGCCCGCGATATGTTGTGGCAAATTCTCACGTGTTTAAAATGGCATTTCAGGTATGATATTTTTTCGACAGTTGCAGTTTTTTAACAAAAAAAAAACCGGAAGAGAAATTTTTAAAATCAGGCAGTCAAATCTTAGTCAACCTATAAAATACTTACAAAACTGCAACTGTCTGGCAAAGAATATTAATCACACATACAGGGTGTCTCACGGTAACAGCCCATTAGAATTATTTCATAGACTACTTCGATTTGAATTTTGAAAATTTGGGATAGCGGGTTTTCGGGATTGCCCTTCTCAACTAAAATAATGGCGTCCGCGTACCACTTCCGGTTATACCGGATGTCGCCATCAACTTGCTTATTTTAAATGGAACACCCTATATATTATTGCAATTTTGGATTCTTCAAACCATGTGTATTTTATAGTAAGAAAGATAAAGCAACAATATTTATGGGGAGGATAGCTAGACCCTAAGATTCCCATCCATACTTTCAAAGTTGCTTAATTGCATACAGGGTGCTAGAAATTTAATGCCGAGTTTAGTTAACTTCAAACCTTCATAACTCGGTTTTTTTAAATGGAACATCCTGTATGTTTTTCTATAGTTTGATACACAACTTTATTCTCTTTCGAACGTATTAGGGCTCGCTATACCTATCTCTTCTAGTTTGAAGCTAGTCACTGTTCCTCTCCATTTTTTTGAAAAAAATTAAATATCTCGAAGACGGTTAATTTTAGGAATAGGGAAACTTCATAAAAGTCCACCTAAAATAACACGTAGAATCCAAAACTGCAATAATATATAGGGCGTTCCATTTAAAATAAGCAAGTTAATGGCGACTTCCGGTATAACCGGAAGTGGTACGTGGACGCCTTTATTTTAGTCGAGAAGGGCATGCCCGAAAACCCGCTATCCCAAATTTTCAAAATTCAAATCGAAGTAGTCTCTGAAATAATTCTAATGGGCCGTCACCGCGAGACACCCTGTATACGTACTTTCACCGAATCTAAGCTCACAAATAAATTGGTCAAATATCTCTAACGGCTTCAAATCCGTCCTCAATTGCTATAGAAAGAGATCTATGACGTCACATTTCACTGCATCGACAATAGCGCCCTCTACGCGTAGTCAGGCTAAACCGGCTCCATCTCTGGGCGATGGAGAGTAATGCGAATAATTGTACCAAGTTCATACTCACCAATTTATAGAGCTGGCTCCTCGGTGTCTTGGCAACAAGGAAGGGTGGTAGCAGATACTGCTCAGTCGAGGGTAATTAATGACTTCCATTGGTATGAATTGGGAACAGTAGGGAAGGACGTTCAATTCCGCGTTGACGCTCTTGTAGGCATCCAAAACCTCCGGAAGAGGTTTGCCTTGCCTCCGCCAGGCCTTGAATTTGAACACAGTGACGTCATTATCGGCAGCTACCTTAGCTAAAATATACAAAACAAAGATATGTATGTCAAAAAGCTATCTATGTTATAACTACCGTGTCAAAATGTTAATGAAATACATTATCCAGATTATTCAGTTCAAAACATTGGTAAAATTTGTGAAAATCTAGAGTTCCTCCACTTTCCTTGCCTTTTTTGTTCATCGCCAACTTGATTCTAGTGAAATACAAGAATTTTGTTGCAAACATAAACTAATGACGTAGGTATCACAGCTTACTAGAGTGTATGGCGTCACTTCTGGCATATTTGGCGGGAGATTTGAAAAATATGAGTCCCGACACAGAAAGCGCATATTGTTTCATCATCTTTCGATAAAATTAACCCGTAAAAGCGTCTACAATGAATTAATATTGCATTTAAACGCTATCTCTCGACGTTTCTCGAATGATCCAAGAATATAAGTTTATGTAACACGTATTATAATCCCTTGTGTTTACCATACTCTGAATTACGGTGATCTAGTTTTGTCTATATCTGCATGCTGTCGAGGAATGACCGAATATCAGTCGTTTCGATAAACTATGACCCGTCCCCACAAAATTTATGGCAAAATCAGAAGTTATATCTCTGTTTATACTTTTATTATCTAAGAAGCATTTTTAAACCCAATCTTTATTGGTTTATATCAATTATAAATGCATATAACGGTCTGATTAAGGAAAATTTGTGGGGATTTAAAATACGACACGTTTTAAATAAAAACAATTATACAGATAAGAAAGTTGTTGCACAGAAAGTGTTTGAAAAAGGTTAGGTGCTTTTTTGAATTGTAATTAAATAAAAATGTGTGTTTTGTAGAAAAAAAAAACGTTAATTAATACCTAAAGGGTCTTCTCGTTTTCCTTTGTCTGGTATAGTGAAAACGCCCACTATGATATGTCCGTGCTGCCTTAGTCTGTGGAAAACGTCGACTGCAAACGCGCTTTGTCCAATGATGGCTACCCTGAGGGGTTGGATGGCAGAAGAAGAAACTTGCTGAAAAAAAAATATAAACGAATTATCTTGCTTCTATTTCCATTTTAATATTTTGTAAAATAGACGTATAGTTTTGACTCTCATGAAAAATGTGAGTATGCGGCAACGTCGCGGGACGTTGGCTCCGCCTACAGACATCGATTGTTTCTCAAAGCGCACTCTTCGAATCTCATTTAATTTTTGTTAACCTTTCCATTTTAAAATAAGGAAATGCCAAAGGTTTTTGATTTTTAAACGTTTTTCTATCATATAAATCACCTTGCGAGAAACAAATCTATTTATTTCTTAATAACCTTAGTCTTACATACCGCTGTTACTAAAACGTATTTATTCCTCTTTCGAGAGAGACCTTGGCTTCTGTAATTACTTGATTCTCGATTGTACATCTACTTCCTTACGATTGTCTATTGTTTAAGGTATAAGAAAAACATAAAATATTGTGCTGCAAACTTTTATAGNTTATTTATTTATTTATTTATTTATTTAATTTAATTCATCCAACGGGATGAGAACCCTTTTACAGGATGAATAAAAACACAAAATATGCAACATAAGAGTAACATAATTACAATAAACAGCAAAGTGGTATAAAGAAAGACAATAAAAACGGAATATAACATCAAAAATAGTTAAAAAAAAACGGCAAAACAATATAAGATAACTAACAATGATATAACAATATTACAAAATAAAGACAAAAATAAAAATGAGATAAGAATAATAATATAAATAATTAATTATACAAAGTCTCGTAAGTACATGTACAACGGACGATTATGGATTCCTGGACTCGAAAGGGTTTATTTAGTCTAATTCACCTATAACCGGAATCGCTTTGTTTGGCCGCTAGATGGCCTAAATGTTCCTGTGGAATTTTTGACGTTACAAAAAAATTTAGCTTCACCATACATCAAGTTTCTAGCAGTTGTAAGTTTTAAATATCACTCTGTATAACATCAAACTGTCAAGCAAAAGTACACACCCCAATCATAATCAAAATTAAGTTATTAAAATAATTCAAACACTTTTCAGGAACTTTGAAGCGGTCAAACGAAGCGATTTCAAAACGATTCAATTAATTTGATGCACATTTTTCGTACCTACTTTTATTTTCAGTACAAATCACATAATAAGAGTGTAGATCACTGGATCTGGGCGAGGTCCGAAACATTTTCAAAATTGCAAAAATGTTAAAAAATTTAAAAAAAACACCTATTTTGAGTTTTTTACTTATATCTTGGATCCTATGCATTTTGGAAGAATATTGAACAGGAAAAAAGTTTTAGAACTTAATTTTGCACAATATACTGTAAGTTTAAAATTTATTATCGATGTTGCAAAATAGCAATAATTGATGAAAAAAAGGCAAAAAAGTTTTTTGGATAAAAAAAATTTAAGAGTGTAATAAAACAACATCAAATTTCATTAAAATCGGTACTATAGTTTTCGCAAAATAATTTTTTGAAAAAATTTTTCGAATTTTCAAAATGTTGCACAGCTTCAAATAAAGCATCTAAATACTTGATAATTTTTTCACATAAAAAAGACCGCTCAACCTTTCAAATGGTCTTTCAAAAATTGAAATCGGTTTATTAGGACGATCACAGTAAATTTTTAAAGTTAATACTCTTTTTTTATTTTTAAACAATTAGATTACATTTATCAGTTTGCAATTTAGTATTTTTCAAAAATTATTATTTTAAAGTACTCGGAAAGACGCTTCTTTAAAAAAAAAAAAGTTAAATTCCATTTATTGGTTCTCGAGATA